CTCTCGAACCGATATTGACAAGTTGGGCCTTCGAAGCACGGTGACGAGTATTTTTGCCACCTCTGTACCGTCACCCGAAGAAGCACGCACACATTATTTCGGGAATCGGAATGAGGGCAAAGTTTGAATACCACCTGGCTCTACATTCGGGTCCTCCGAGTCAGCGGCAGGCCTCAGGAGCTCAGTACTGCGAAGAATCCAAACGCGCTCACATTTGATGAGATTGGAATTTGGCGCCGTGCGCGTCCGGATGATGTAGATGCCGAGCCTGCAGATGAAGTTCAACGTGTGGGCTTAATGGAATGCGCGATACACGTTTACATTTGAGCGTCCATTGCGCTGGAACAGGCCGGGAATTCCCGCTCACACGACAGTGTGGCTATTTTTGGCAAGCGCGTGTATCTAGCTGCACTCATCAACGAAGGCATCAACACAGCACTGCTGCACCTAGCTTCAACTAGACTCCCCTTTAGCGGCTGTCTATTGTAGCGGCTATCTAAGTTCTAGCCATAGTGTCTGGACACTGGGCTTTGGGCCAGTGTAAAATTTATATCAACGGAGCCAGAAGAAATTCCGCTTAGGTCTCTCGCACCCTCGACATTGAGTGGTGTGGCTCTTCAGGCATTTGCAATGAAATTCAGGTGTGCACCATTCTCGAATTGTAAAACAACAATTTGGTGAGGCTCTGCCAGCTCGGCATTAAAGTTCAATGCTGTCGCAGATTGGTGGGAGGAATACATCGCGTACGTTTGATCCGTCTTATTCAAACACACATGTTCTTAATGTATCTTGAAGCTATGATGTGCTCAAGCGGTACATTTATCAGCTGGAGAAGCGACAGCAACGGCCAGATGGTATAGAACCACCTTATAGTGACTTGGAGGCCAATGAACAGACAACCCTTGTCGACCACAGTGATACACCTGGCGCGGACAGCCTCTTTAAGCCACTACTCGACAAAGAGCTGCAGAAGATTGTGAGGTTTTACGAAGCGCAGGAACAAGAGCTGTTGAATGAACTCGCGGTGTTGGAGCAATCTATCACGCAGCAAGACGAGGCTGGGCTTGAGGCAGGGCTCGATTATATGGATGAAGATGAAGAAGACGAAGAAGAAGATGAGGAAGATGAATACAACATGTTATCCCGATCTGAAGACTACGGAAAAAGGTCCCGACGCAGGCGCCACAAATCCACCTCCGTTGGTTATGGAACGCGGTTTGCAACAGGTCTGCCTTGCAATACCTTGTCATGTCCAGCTAACGCTCGTTGAGCAGGTTCTATTCGCGAGGAATCCACAAATCGCCGCTTTAGCGTCTCTTCTAGCGAGGCGGGAGATCTAGATGCAAGTGTCTTATCCGTTGCCCCGCGCCCACGGTCGGCCTCACGGGTTGTATCTGGTTCGCGTCATGCAAACAGTAGCATGTCGCCGACGGGGAGGGCTCGTAGCCTGGGTAGCCGGCTGAGGACTGTGAAGGACATAACATCTACTGGAGACACCATCTGGACCGCAAAGGGCAGCTATGCCTTGGATACCCGGCTACTCTTCAAGCGAAAAATTACCAACCTTTACATCACTTTATCCTCGCTGAGATCTTATGTGGAAGTCAATTACTCTGGCTTTAGCAAGATTTTGAAAAAGTGAGTTGTTTCTATCTGGTTCGCGCAATATTTGTTGAAGGGGTTTCTTCAGGTATGACAAAGTCGTGTATGGCGAAGTATCTAACATTTTATCGTACCTCGTTCACTCATAGCTTATCATTTCCTTCAGCTCAAAGACCATTACATGCACGAAGTTGTAGAGACATCTGCACCCTTTACAGAAGAGTCGAAAGCCAGAATGTCAGATGCCATCGCCCGACTCACCGAGCTCTATACCAAATGCGTGACAAATGGAGACAAGTCAACAGCACAGCAGCAGCTGAAACTATACCAGCGCGAACACATTGCATGGGAGCGGAATACAGTCTGGCGTCAGATGATCGGGCAACAGCGACACGGTACTATGAACGGATTAGGTGCTCTCATGGGCGCTACACTGGTGCAACAGGAAGAAAGCAGCCTTATTAATGTCCCGACTCCTCTCGGAAGTCTGAAGTTGACAAAGAAGAGGGTGTCACTCACTGTTGCGCTAGTTGTGTTCATCGCTTTACTGAAGATGGACATCGTTGTTGGTGAAGAGGCTAATAAGTGTTTTGCCATACTTGCATTCAGCACTATATTGTGGGCAACAGAGGTGCGAAATGTGCTCCAGCTTCCATTTCTTACTTACCTTCGTATTTAGGCGATACCGTTGTTCGTGACATCGCTTTGCGTTCCCCTCCTGTTGGTATGCTTACGGGTTATACGTGATGACAATGACACTGCCTTGTCTACGCCTGATGCAACAAAGTAAGTTGTCTGAAATCACCCTCTCGGAGATACTGAGTACACGATCCAGGTATATATTCTCTGTTATGTTCTCGCCCACAATCATGCTTCTGATCGGAGGATTCACAATTTCATCGGCTTTGAGCAAAACCAACATAGATCGGATTTTAATCACGAGAGTCCTGAGCTTGGCGGGTTCAAAACCTAGTTCCGTGCTTCTTGCCTTCATGGGTGTCTCCTGTTTTGCGAGTATGTGGATCAGGTAGGCCACGTTTATTCCCGTCACTCACGTGTCGCTAACGTGTTTCAGTAATGTTGCAGCTCCAACATTGTGCTTCACTCTCATCCGAGTAAATGATATGCGTCCTATGTCCGCAGCAACAATTATCTGACTTTTACTGTCTTCAGCCGATCCTGAGAACGCTGCCCCCTGGTTCGGCTTTTGCACCAGCACTAATAGTTTGTTATTTACCATGTGCGGGAGCAACCACTCATGACCCCTACAGCTCGCTATCGCCTTGGCCGCCAACATAGGTGGTCAGAGCTCCCCGATATCGTCTCCACAGAATCTCATTGCCCTCGCGGCGATGGATCCTAAACTCGATTGGGCGAGTTGGTTTGCTGTGGCACTTCCAGTGTCCATAATCTCTATCTTGCTCATCTGGCTGCTGTTGCTTGTGATGTACCGCCCTGCTCGTTCGCCTGACGGGGAAGGAGAGATTGAGATACGGACTATCCGCCCAACAAGGGAATCCTTCACCCTCGAGCAGTATTGGGTTACGTTTGTCTGCTTATTCACGATTACTCTCTGGTGTTTTGAGCACAAAATCGAGGGTCTTGTGGGAGATATGGGTGTTATTGCTATCATCCCGATCGTCGCCTTTTTTGCCACTGGTGTGCTGAAAAAGGTGTGTGCTGAATATATCGGCAATAATACTAACCACGTGTTCTCAAGGACGACTTTGAACAATTCGCTTGGACAATTGTTTTCCTCGCAATGGGCGGAATCGCTCTTGGCAAAGGTGTTACTTCTAGTGGTTTGATGGTGACTATGGATAGGATGATCCATCGCCTGCTCGAGGGTCTCTCCTTGTACACTGTCGTTCTTGTCCTCTCCCCAGTCGTTTTGGTTTGTGGTCACTTGTTGTGGTGTTCGCAGTTTACTCAAACTTCTTTCAGATCGTATCGACATTTATCAGTCATACGATTGCAAGCGTGCTACTGGTTCCCATCGCGAAAGAGGTTGGAGAAAGCCTACCCGGCGACCATGCAAATCTGCTCATTTTTATGACTGGTCTTCTTTGCTCTGTTGGAATGGGTATGCCTGTTTCTGGGTTTCCTAATCAAACTGCGTACGTCCGTCACACAACCACTACGAGTCGAACCTGACGCTTTCTGAATGATCAGCGCCGCTCAAGAGGATGAGCTTGGACGCCTTTATCTCACTAATATGGACTTCTTGAAGAATGGTGTGCCCGCCAGTATTGTCGCCACCTTAGTACGTGGTATACCTTACAACTCAACACGCATGCTTACTTGGTAACGCACGTCTAGGTCGTCGCTACTGTTGGGTTCGTTCTCATGATAGCCATAGGGTGTGTTCTCCTTGTTGACATCTTGAGCGACTGTTAATCTCTATTTCATGACTGGTTCACTTCAGACTCTGATTAATCCTTGGACCATCACCACGCACATGCACGGAGTTCGGGTAATAAAATAAACTAGGGTTCCTGATCGAGATACCCTGCGTGCATCATACCTTGCTATATAATTTACAGCTGCGGAATACTGATAGAATTTTCAATGTCATGTCTTCTTGTAGACTTCACTTCCAGTTTGACTGATATTCTGACGAACAATACTGCATGTCAAGCGAATGACAAGAGGGTGTAGAGGACGAGGATATCTATGAGACATCGTTAACATAACCGACCACTTCAAGGTGCGGCTGCGAAGGAATTAAGCGAATGGTGTAGTTCATAAACAGTTCTGCTTTCCGACTGTCCGCATTGCATTTGGTCCAACGTACAGCCGCGGACACCTCTGGAGTCTGGACAGTCAGGTACGACCCCATCTGTAAGTGCGAGATGGGGTTGTTCTTATCACACTCTCGTCCTTGCGTTATTCGATCTCGATGCGCCTCATGCTCCGTTTCCTGAGTAGTCTTCCATCAGAGACAGGACCGACGCATTGGCATAGCAATCAAGGTCAAGGCCAAGGCGAAAGTAATTAACAAAAGACCAAAGCATAGCAACCAAACTTGCCGTCATGATCCAACAGATCGCATATGCTGGCATATGGCCTAGACTGGTGTTCCTGTGTCTGTAGTAAGGGCACATGGACCATTGAGCTTCCACTTCGTGCGGTGAGGAAATCTGAAGTCATCAGGCCCGGTTCAAGCTTTCAACAGGTGGGCATTGAAGTCGGCGGGATTAGACCATCGTGTTCTATCATAGTCCCTGGCACCTTCCACATGTCACGGAGATAAAGTTTTGATATCATTGACTTGTTGGTATGCGCCTTCAATGGGATCAAGTCGCACGCCCTGTTACGCAGTCTTTTACAGCCACACCATAAAGAAGCTTTGGTAAGGAATCGGAGGCCGAGACTGCGAAGCTACACGGGAGAAGAATGGGGAATGTGAAACAAGTTTTGCACAATTCGCATGTCCAAGCAGTAGTCTCCAAAGTGTCGGAATTCGAAGTCCATCTTGCGCCTAGATGTTCTCGTTAAGCTCGGAGTTATAAAAGTTGTGCGCTGATAGAGGACATCAAGACATGGGAAGTATGCCTGGTAGGGGCCCTGCATTATACTTGGTAAATGATGACCAATTGCGTTCAAAATAGCGGCCTTGCAGCACACAAGAGGAAAAAGAGGGAAGATTGCTGCGAGGCATAACTCACCAGCTGATCTCTTGATCTCCACCTTTACTGTCATCGTACTTTCTAAGAAGCCTAGTTCCGAACGATATAAATGTGCACACCACGCACCTCTCAATGGCAGCTTGAACGCAGCCTTGACTAATCTCGCCAAGTTGGTGCTGGTGTACGCCGTCTCCGTCGCATATATCCCGTCAGCAAGTACCTTTGGCCACCCGCTTCCCTCGACCTTTATTGTCCTCCTCTCCGTCAGCCTCGTCCACGGTCCAGTAGTAAGCGCTGCTCACTTGCAAAAATAGGGATCTCGCCAAGCACTTTGCAGATGTCCCGGACTGTGTGGTTTGAATACCTGACAGACCTTCGACGTACTCGCCCAGACGCTGATACGATAGAATTCAGTACTATTTTCAGCTAGTGATTGATCAATACCTTGACAAGACCTGCAAGAGGTCTATCGTCAGTCCATCCAGAATGTGACCATGCTTGGAGCGTAGGGTATCCAGGCGATTCAAGACAACGAGCTTAACGTTGTTGTCGTATTCTTTGATGACCAGATTAATAAAGCACGAGGCAGCCGCTAATTACGAATGTGAGCAGATATGCGTACAGGACCTGATCGTAAACATACCTTTCACAGCAGCGGGGTTTGCGTGAGTGTAGTGAGCGTCGTGGCAGTTTCATACTTTACTGCAGGTGACGATGAATTCAACAATTTAAACATGCATCTGATGTATCGGGGCCGCAAGACGACAAAAATGAGGATAAACAAAATGGCCTAAATGAAAAGGACTTACTCAGTGCGTCGTGTCATTCTTACAATCCAACCTGATGACTTATATGATACTCATCTGCAACAGCTCGTCTAGACTCGTCAGCTGATCATACACGCTAATCAACCACTCCATAGCTTTAGGCATCGCGCGATGCGCAAGCGGCAAGGAACACAAATGCGTTACGCTTGCACGTCGCGTCAGACTCTGCAGCAATGAAAGTCTGCATGGGCTCGGGGGCATCTGGGATGAGGAGTTCATATTCGCGGTAGATAGTGTACACGGTAAATACGGCGTTCGTGCGGATGCAGGAATGACGGTGCTCGAGACAGCTGCGACGAGCATGGAGTGAACAACGCCTGTGTACATCAGTAACGCGAAGGACAATAATGTTATGGACTTGCGAGCGAGCGAGGCGAGGTGCGCACAAACATAACCAATGACCACCAAGACACTCATTGCAGGGTCATGGAAGATTGAGAGAGGGAATCGCGAATATAAGCGCTGGGAACAACATGGAACTGAGAAGCGCGTCAGCTAGTAACACAATCAACTAGCACCCAGAGGGACGGCATTGAAGACAACAGTACACGAAGTAAGGATGAACGCAGCCCGGCCAGCAAAGAGGTTCAATGATGAGTTCATGCATCACACAGACCGGACAATGGCCTGACAATTGGAGATGCGGCCTTAGATGCATGATGGTGCGAAGCGAAACAGGTACCTGATGAAGCTCAAGATTGATGAACATATTTGAATCAGGTAATGTAACATTTGAGGAGTGAGTTTTGCTGATCACAGTGTTTGAAGCTTGAAGTTTGAACCTCTTGATCGTTTTCTAAAAAGCGTAAACTCTCAGGCCTCAGGCTCCGGCCTCATCGAGTCGGAATTGCAACTCTTCTATGACGTTGTTCTCAAGCTGAAGAAATCCCTCACCCACGAGGAGACCGAGGAGGAGGAAGACACATCTCCGGAAAGTGTCGAGCAGCAGCCTGGGTTGACACGATTTCTCATTCCTAGATCGGTATGTTATGTAATGATTTGTTCACTTTTGCGCTACTCTCATACTCTGTTAGACCGAATCAAGTGCTCGCCGCGCATGGATCGACGCATTCTTCTTCCGCATATCTGCAATGCTACCACCGGATATATCTATATCATAGGCGCATGGTTCTCGATATAGAATACCCTGTGCCAACCACTCGGGTCACCACATTAAATTTCAACACCCTCTCTGGATTCCTGGATTACACTGCCATAGTAATAAGGCAAGACAACGGCGGTGAGTCTACCTTGACCTCCTGTTGACAGGTCGATGCATGCTACAACGTCTCGGAGGATTAACCTCCAAGCTTCTTTACCTTTCTTGTATCTCTTGGCACCTTCCTCACCATACACTGTCCCTCCGGTGCTGTTGTCACCGGCACGTCGTGCTTCTTGTACTTCTTGATATTTTGCTATTTAACGAAGCCCTCGTCTATTGTTACCTCAGCATTGTCTTTATGTCCGCTGAGGTATGTCTTGTTTCGCGTTGTACTTACATAACCTAACTAACTCTCTCGTAGTTCGCATGCGGAAAGCTCCTCGGGTAAGCAGATTGTGTTAGCTTTTAGGTTTACATTTCTAATTCGCTACTTCATCTCAGGCGAAGAATCCTCCGTGGTGCTCTGACCAATGGATTTGAATGGATCTTCCTTATCATGATGTTTGCAGATGATTACAACGGAGCCTCCTTACACAGATCTCGCAGACTCTGCCGTGATACTCTCGGCGCTCATACATGGCATGATTTGATTGCTGCTATTTTGGCATATTGGGTCAGTTTGATGCTAATATGCGTGATTGAATTGTTGACTGATTGGGATGCTAGACTGACCTATCTCCCAATGGTGAAGAGCTATGGTTTATAGCTCTTCAGCCTTGGGAAATAATGATTGGTTTACAGTGGACTAGGGGTCCCAATGGCAAGAGCTAGGCTTTCCGCATAGACTAGGTTCCAGTATGTTGTCATGCTCGCTCTGTCTTTGGGCTGCGAGAGTAGTCCAACGGCGTAGGTGATACATGCATCCAGGTTTTGAACGATCGCCTGAACTCTATTTCCGTCCGCGACACTTATAATGACCAAGCCAAGAAGGTCATCGCTGTGATAGGCAACATCATTCAAATTGGCTCATTCGTTGTCGCGCAGAACTTCTCCATATCACAGCTCTATGCTGGATAAGATACAGTTTCCCAGTAAGTACGTGAACAGACAGATCGCAAAAGTCGTTGAGGAAATCATGTCAAGGTGCGAATATCAATCACAACTGTATTGCGACTCTCTCAGCAAGCACATTTCAGGTATGTGAAGGTGCGTCCTACAACAATTCAAAGGAAGAATTCCTTGTTCTTGCAGATTTATGGACTTTCAATCTTGTTGGAAACTCTATGCACGCATCTTTCTGGATGAGAAGACATGGAAGGTGACGTGACTCAAAAGCTGTGTGGATGGATGCCGATGACGAATGAGCTATCTAAGATACGTTGGCTCGATCCCATCAGATTTGCCAATGCGCAAGGAAGGTCCAACCAGACCATCTCCGAATCTATGGAGTGGCCCTCCATCTCCGCGACCTTGTTGCGATTCTCGAAAGCGCAGATTGCTGATATATTCGCTGACAACGGTATCACCAACTCCTTGTGGGGCGGACTTCAGCTTGACGGAGAAGGCAGAGTTATGGAGAGGTGCATTTGATGCATTGGCGCCAGTATTATTGGTCTTGTGGAGGTTACAGAACGTGCTAGTGAGCCTTGCAAAAAAGGAATTTGAAGTAGCGCAACACTGCATGTCGTTTGCAGCCAAGGCTGTGGTACAATTGAAATTGATGCCGGGAATCTAAGAAAAAATCAATCGGGAGGATGTACATGTTAATATCATATTTGAATACATGTTACAGGGGTCGTGTTGAATAGCTAGTATCAGTTGTCGTCCTTCAACTCGGTCATATGGGCTCTCTCTCTCGACAAAGTGGCTGAAGGAATTAATGGCGGTATGTAGTAGTGACCGGGCTTAACTTTAGTAAGTCATCAAACGAATTTGAAGACTTCTCACGTTTGTTTGTGGGGAATTTGTTCAGACACCGTCGTCGTCGCCGTCGTCCACGATGACGAACACGACTACGTCTTCTAGTCTGCCAACAGTGGCAATGCCGAGCAAGAAGCACCCTACAGTCTTACCAAATGCACATCCGTATGCAATCAAGACGACGTCCTCTGCTGTTCTTTCACGTTCGAACTCATCGCCGCACTCATCACCCTCAGTCAAACACCATTATGTTCCCCCATCGCCAACTCGCCCAAGGCATTATCACGCGTTTTCCCTTTCGTCTGTAGAAGGTGCGAGCGTCAATGAAATTCCTCGACCTTCTCTGTTGCCTGTCCCCCCTTCCTTTCATGCCATCCCTCCAACACGTGCATCTTTCTCTCTCAGTGATGACGCAACACCTTCTCGCAGACTGAAGCGTGCAGACACGCTACCACCCTCCGCAAGTGTGCCTGCTCTCAATAAAAATACTGTTACAGAGGACAATAATCTGCCTCCCAATCCCAAGCACTGGTCCACTGACGACCTCGTTTCACATCTTACCACTTCACTCCGGGCAGGCAGCGAGTTGAGTACCGAAGACCAGGGACGCCTCCTTTGTATGATCAAAGAACAAACTATTACTGGTAGGAATTTTTTGAGATTAACTGACGCTGACCTCGCTAGGTAAGTTGTATGTTCACGTCATTTAGTGTTATACCAATGCAAAGGATCATCTGACGATTATCGTGTGTTTATAGCCTGTCTCTGACACCTGATCAACGAATTTATCTGCTCGACGCTTCCCGCGCCTTGCGCGCAGATGTTCTCCGTGGTCGCATATGGGTGGACTCATACCATTCTAAAGACATATCTGCACACTCAAAGGGTGTTCATACGCGATCCATACGCAGCTCGAATTCGCCTTTCAACTGTGATCTGTACAATTTTTCCACTTCGTCGGTGGATCTAATTCTCCCGCCATCTGCCTCCATAGGAACTGATGGAGACCTTCCGCCATCCCCAGCCGCAACCTTGATTCGCTCCAACTCTGTTTCAGACTCTTCAGCGCAGAGGTACAGAGACCTTGCACGTATGCGAGTCAGGAGACGTGGACAGGTTAAGGGTCTCGTCGACACTTGGGAGCGCGAAAGAGGCGCCATCAGTGGGAGCGAAGGCTCCATGAGCGGCAGTGATGCCGATAGTGACAGTGACATTCCGTCCCCTGGGTCACCTGTTCCTCCTGCCCTCTTAAATTCGACGATCCGTTTAATCAACCCGCCACCTCCATACACATCGCTCAAGGAGATTGGGGATGAACCGACCATCGAGGAGCTCCTAACGTCTCCTGGTCCTATAAAAGGTGCACGCGCTTGGGAAGAGGACTATGGGTTGGGAGAGACCGTCAAGCGGATCCCCGCCAATACACCTACCCCTTTGCCGCTAGCATCTACATCTCCGAGGGTGGCAGCTGCGGTCGAAATCAATGTCGACTCAAACGAGTCTGCAGCAGAATACAACCTCAGCAAGTTCAGTGACCTTGGAAACGGCCGAGCTAATACTCAGAAGCGAATAGTGACCGCGATATTTACCGGAGGCCCCAACAAGATGGACAGTGCGTTGGACAGCATACCTGTAGACGACGTACCTCAGGCCAACTTAGATCCAGGGAAGGTTGTGAGCATCCTTCATGCAGCAGAACTTGAGGTTACTACAGTCGAGTCAGCTGAAGGCGTCTCTCTTCCGCCTGACCAAGTTGTGGCACCTTCTGATAATGATACCGTCATTGCGATACTTGAAGCATCCATCGCATCTACTCGAACGCAGCTTGAAGCCTTCCGAGCACGTCTGGAAGTTGTCGAAGCACAAGTCGCAGCCCAGGAAGTTGTCAACCACGTTTACCTTCGTCCTGAAGAAGCTCGACGACCGCTCGATGATCAACCCACAGACCATTCTTCTGTTCATGATCCATTCCCTACTCCGGACAACGTGGTCTTCTCTGGTTATCATCTTGGATTGAAATCATTTGTGCACTCGATCATTGCTCGCACAATGGGATGGTTGTATCCCTATTCTCGTCCTGGTGCACACCCTCGTCCGGGAGTAAAGACTACACGTTCTGAAGGGCTAAGCTTTCCCCTCGTGCAACTGCGTATTTTACCCGACTTTCGACTATCCTACGTGATCATGTTCTCTTTCGTGCTTTGTGCAGCCATTTTGCGCAAAGTAGGGAAAACAATGCGGAGGCGTTAATCCTGGTACCTATCCAATTGATCGGGTTGATATTCTTGACCCTTGCTCTGCTCCAAATCTGTATATTATTCCTCGTCATCGCAATACCGTATCTGTTATTTGATCTCACCTTCGCCTAGCCCCATCTCAACCCCATCTTGCTTTTTGTTTGCGCTTGTTTTACTTCCAATTTCTTCACTTCGGCTCCCATTTCATCCGATAATTTCTTCCCATAGCATTCTACCTTTACATTGATCATATCATTCACGGCCATTCACAGTTATGTTCTCTGCGCCAATAAATATGCATGTGTGCAACCCCAACTAGCGGCGAGTGCTCACCTTTCCGAACTGTTTCTTTGAAGTACGAGAGTGTTACAGAAAGCTCGTGGTATCTAAGCTTCAATCATTGGTTGGATGTCGTTCATTCGAGTATTGTAAACAATATCACAATTGCTAGTTCGGACAACGTTCTCAACCACCAGGCATGGACTAGGCATGCGCTGCATGGCAAGAACTTCGTCGCCAACTTTTGAATTCAGCTCTCTTCTGCGATTATCACTTTCGCCAATAGCTGTCGAAAAATTAGAAATTGTGTGTAAGAAGGTTGTGTGGTAAGTTATTAACCGATTTATGCCGTTCGGATTCATGCAAACTCTCTGACACTTCAGTGATAATACATGACTAGTAGAAGACAAGGCATAGGGCATATCGACTTTTACAGCTTTTACCTTTAGACTTGTATTTACCTTCTTGACAGTATCAGCTTCGACACCATGTGCAACGCAATCCGTCTTTGTACCTTCTTGCTTCTCGACCACACGAACCATCCGCTCGTCCATTCGCCGGTATCATTACCTAACATCATGGTCTCTCGTATTTAGTTCGCGTCGTCCCATCACATACCTCAGTGTTGTTCTCGAACTTACTGAGGTATGTCATATCTCTTACTCGCAGCTCACTCGTACTGATGCAACCTATCATGTGCTCTCGCTAGGTAGATTATCTTCAATATAGTATTGTTCTCGAACTTACTGAGCGTGTGCTCTCGCTAGTTGCACTAGCATAAACAGGGCATACATACATCTTCCTGGGACCGGCTCCTCGCACTTCGAGGACAGCTAGCACCACGGGGGACTCCCAGCTTGCGCCTCTTGCCCAGTTACAAAATGAACTCCTTTTCGATATCTTTCGACAAGGCGCTGGGGAAGCTCCTAGTACAAGTGGCTCCCTTCCATTCGAGTTGGCTGTTTCTGGAGTACGCAGGGCTTGGCGCTGCATTAGCCTCTCACCAGAATTTTGGATCTACGTATTCATCACATCCAAGACACCGCCGGAACATCTCTTTACATATCTTAGACGCTCATCAAATCACGCCTTGGCCATCAGCCGACAGCTAGGTCATGTGATGTGTTGGAGAAGCTACGTAGATGGCCAAATATAAAAATTCAGTGAGTTTGAAATTTGAACTCGTCAACTGATCTCCAAGTTGATCCCCACCCTCATGTCTTCTACGAAGCGTAAACTCTCCGATCTCAGTGGAATTGCAACTCGCCTACGACTCTCTTTCTAAGCTGAAGAAATGCATTATCCACGAGGAGACCGAGGAAGACCCATCTCCAGAAAGCTTCGAGCAGCACGATGCTCCCTCTGTTGGGGTCGAGGCTGGAAAGGCCTAAGGTATGACTCGCATCACGAAACGCCTTCCATTGGCTCACTCCCTACAGACTTTTAACTTCTCCAGTGTGACCATGGAGGACTTGACCAAGTTGAACATTGAGATCGAGCGCGTTAATCACCTGAAGCCCAATTTTGATGAACGTGGCAGGGTAGCTACTGACATCGGACGGAATGAGACATTCCAAAAAACGTAGGTGAAGACTCTGCGTTTTTAGAAAGTCTCATTCCTAGAGTGGTATGTTAATGATTTGTTCACTTGTGTGCTACTCGTCGATCTACGCACGTGCGCTTGATTCCTTTCATGAGCTCGCGCATAGATCGACATGTTCTTCTTCCGCGCATCTACAATGCTACCAGCGGATAGGCACATTGTTCTCAATATAGAACACGCTATACCAGCCACTTATCAGCTCATCAAGTTTGTAGACTCTCTGGAATCGTGGATTACACTGTCGTAGTAGAAAGTGAACGCAACGCTATGTAGTAAGTATACTTTGACTTATCTTATCTCAATCTCCCACCTCAATGTTTCCGCTAGAGTACTTTCTGAAAGGCATGAACCTCCATGAGATGAAAAAGTATAGTAATCCACCCGACTTCTTCGTTATGGAAGCCAAGTTATTCAATCCCTTGGACCACATTGCCCAGGCAGCGTCTGAGATGTTCGCGTGCGGAAGGTTTCTCGAGTAAGCAGAATCTGTTAGCTTTTAGGTTCACATTTCTAAGTCGCTACTTCATCTCAGGCGAAGAGTCATCCGTGGTGCTCTGACCAATGGATATCAATGGATCTTCCTTATCATGACGTTCGCGGACGATTGCCTCCTTACAGCGATCTGACATACTCTCCGACAAGGATCTCAACTTCGTGTCGACAAAATTGTAGCTTGCAATCTCGACCACCAGTGGTTGAAGAATAACTTGACCCATGTTGAGTTCATAACCATTTCATGCGGATCTGGTAGCAATGACCGAATCTATGGCGCACGAGCAGTGATGCTTTTTCGAGCGTTGGAGGCAGTTCCACGCCGAATACCTTGCCTCACCCTCGACAACCTGAGATTATCAGATTCAGGTCTGGGCTCCATGATCACAGCTGGCGTCAAAATAGGGGCAGAGCAAGTGATCCTGTGCATAAACATAGACGCTTTGGCTGCCATCGATGACGATTGCCAGACCATCGTTATCAAGCAATGCGATTCTGTTCATGATCTTCAGAGTATCTCGTTACCTTCCTCATCAAAATCACTGGAGTTGGACAGGTGCGGTAGCAAAGAACCGCGGCGGGTACCCGATGCCCGTATGTGGGACGGTGATACAGTCACCATCACGAACAGCCACTCCTCCTGCATAGAGATCGTCTTACATCTCCTCGGCGCACCATTCAATGATCATGTTTGTTCCCTGTGGCGCCATGTCACTACTCTCAAGCTCGTAGCCAACGGCCCTTTCGTGCCGTTGACTTTACTGAAGGCGATGATCACCAGCCGGCAGGGGGCTGCGGGGCAGAACAATTTGCCAGGGAAGAACGACGAGGATAATGTGGAATTAGAAGGTGTGCGTCCGCTCATGGTGTTCCATGTGCATGGGGGACAACATATGACACACGAGGAGAGAGCGTGGTTCAAGAAACGGGTGAAGGACTTCGTATGGAGGTGAGGGGTGGTTTGTATGCATGGGCCGTTCCAAAGACACGTATGTAGTAGTAAGATTATCAATATTTAGGCTGACGACCACTATAAGCAATACTGAGTGTTTCATACTTATGTCCTCTTCAGGTTTCCCACTGCGTGATCAAACAGCAACAAAGTCTATTCCGCCTAGCATCCTCTTCGTAGATTGGTCCGGCCCCCCGGCGCCCAGGCTGCATAAGTACTCGGGAAGCTACTTCTCGGCATCTAGCACATATGCCATCGAATACATTCTAATCGCTTTCGTCTAAGAAATGGTCACGAGTCTACGCTCGCTGCACTTGTTACCAGTTTTACATCTATGTTTGTAGAAAGTATCCACTCAGAATCTCGCGCACGTGAGATGCGTACTCAAATCGAAGGTGAATGCGCATTTCAGGGACGCAGGATTTGTTAGATGTAAACGTTTTTCAGTGTGAGTCACCACGCGCATTTCATATTAACGAAGGATTCACCCAGCTATGTGCTTCGCATGGCCTTCGATGGGTTCTCCTACATGAGGCTTCCAGACTTGCAATCAAGATGGGAAATCCACGCGTCGTCTATTACTGTCCAATTATAGAGTCTCGAAGTACTCCATCCTACCTATTTACGAGAATTTATATCGCGAGAAAGTCTTCGTCTTCCTCAACGAGGATTTCTAGGAGCTTGAAAAATGAGGCCCCAGGAAAACCCATAACGTTGTAAAAGTCGCCATCAATCTTGCGAATGAGCAAGTTGCCACGACCCTGTCGTCTGCGTGAATGTCATGTTGCGCACAAGTTCGAGAGAGACTAACTTGGACTGCAAAGCCTCCTGCCCGATCTAGACCTTCCTCGCTGTCGACGTACGCCTGAAGTAGATGTTCCGGATTGTCCCCGAAGAATACCAATGTCCGTTCATCTATAGATCTATGTGCGTGACAGCAATTCGGTCAATAGGGCATACTCAAAGAGAAAAAAGCCTACTTGATCTCATATCCAGGAGCGCTCAAGATTGGATATACTGAAACAGAGGTTAGAACAGAAGAATACTAAAAATCAGAATTGTCACATACCAAGTGAAACACCCGTTACGACCTCACAAACACTCCCATTCAGGTCCATCAGCATGCGCATGTTATCCTGTTTCGAGGATGGTTTCTCGAGGAGCTCTTGCCGCACACCCGTCTCCATCTCAATGGACGTCGATGGTAGGGCATGAGTGAAGACGACGGTATCCGCTGATAGAGTATTAGGTCGCTTAGATGGCAACTTTCCAGAGGGCACATACCACCGATGACGAGATCTGGTGGGTCGTCTGGCGCATCTGTCTTGTACAAGTTGTGGAAATATAGGTGAAATTGAAAGCAACGAACGTACCAGTAATCTTTGATACACCTCCACTGCTTTCTGGGTCGCAGTGGAAACGGGATATTCGTGAATATCCTCGAAAGAAGAGATAGGGAGATCCTCAGCAAACGTCGATGGGACAATTTCGGGTGCTAAGCCCTGTCTATATGTCATCTAGTGGTCGACTTCAAGAAATGCTAGGTTGTGTTCGTACCAGCGTTTGGAGTATCTCCTTTCTCCTTGGGCTTGCAGAAGCAAGAATGACGCGTTTGTTGGTCAGTTTCTGGACGGCAGGTGTTTTGAGAGCGGTTGGCAGAACGGCATTGCGTTGAGGTGCCATAGCTGATCTGAGATGTCTGACCTCAAGTTGTATGATGCTTATTATGTAAAGGGTCGTGAGCAATTGTGCAACCTAGGCCTGCTGACTCTCATTCTTCACATATTGGTCACATGTGAGCTGTTATTGGCAACTAACTCTCCGGGCGATCCAGATTTCTCAGTAATAGCAGACAGTACTATACTAAGTATCCCGTTAATCATCCTTCTTACCCGAGGGTGGTGGGCCCACAGCCGGGGACATAAGCGGTGAAGGAACGGCGAAGGGCGAACTGAGTCCTCCGCTAACACTTCGTGAGATATTGACTGACTTCCCCTGCTTATGTCCTCTCCCACTCGGCGGCGGGCCAAACGCCGCCCCACCAAAGCCAAGTCCAACGCCTGTTCCTGGTGTCGGTGGGACACTCGCACTGCTAGTCAAGGGAGGTGCAGATAGATATGGTGAATAGGGATATGGACTTTGGCCGGTGAATCCACCTGAGGCGGGCGTATTCGCGTAGGATGCGTACGGTGAGGAGGAACCTTCGACGACCCAACCTGGGCCTTGTCTGACGACATTCGTCGAGTTTTGTGCAGTGGAACGTACACGTAACTGTCCGCCGGCCCATTTTCGCTTCACACCAGTAGCTTCAGCGGCTACAATTCCCGGAGTGGTATCTGCCCCTGAGACGGCGTCCGCTGCGCGAATGGCAACACGAACGAAATACTGCGCGCAGGTGAAAACACCACCAATGACACCAACACAGCTACGAGGATATGTCAATCTTGAGTAATGAAGCAAGAAGATTCCCCTACCGTATTATGAATTGTACCAACGAGGTTGTGCGCTGGTGGATGCTGATAACCATTGGATCGAGATCGAACTTGAAGAAAATACCGGGGACTCCTTCATTGTGCTCCAGCTTACGGGTGTAGTGAGTAACGCTGTATTGGTTTGTCTCGAGAGGCCGACTTCGGGGGGCAATGTATGTAGTTGGAACCACATGCAAGAAGTATTGGTACACCATGAACGCTGTTAGTCGATGAGTCTGAGTACGAACTGAGAGGGAAAAAACGTACGGTCTTTTGCGATCTCAACTGAGTAGTCAAGGGGTTGAGAGATATCGGGGAAGTATGGTCCGAACGAAAACTCGCTGATCACATGGGACAAGTTCATCTCTGGAAAATATTATAGCATCCATACTCATTGAACGTGGTTGCGACTACTCACTATTGTGTTCCACATGGATGTGACTATTATAGCCATGTCCGAGCGTTGTAATATGTAAATTAGCTGGTCATATTATTAATAAGAGAAGGGGGAGCATAGAGGGTCAACATACCAGTCACTTTCTTGACCTGTAGGGACCCATAAATACGACATGCACTTCCATCCTTCTCGTGGTTATATGTAGGGCGAAACTCAGGTTCAGCGCGGCGGAACCAAGAGAAGAGTCCACGCGACTTTCTGGATTGTGAGATTGCCTGGCGAGCAGAAAGAGCCTTGGCATGTTCCCTGAGTAGCGATTGAAGGGTAAGGGGTGAAAACGCTCATAGAAATTATGACTTACTTGAGAGTTGTTGCTTGGCCAATATCGAAATGAGTCTGTTAAGGTAAGTTAGATGAATACTCGCCTTGTGGAAGATATATCAAACGTACACCCTCCCGACGGAACGCATTGCTGAGGAATAAGCGGTCACCAACTACATCACGCAAGTCCACACTAAGATCTGCGACAGGTCTCTGGTTCAGGGGCAGAAGCTCTGTGATTAAGGGAGTGGAAGGACTCACATTGACAAGGCATATTGACTACCACATCAACGTTCACATTCAATTGGGACTGGCCCTGCGAGTCTATGCTGAATTCATAATCTGGCCAACCCCAGATGTACTCTCCAATATCATTTAATACAAGTAGGAGTGCGATGAGAGCGACCAAAAGAGTGAAGAAACCGCGGGATTCTGAGCGGGCCTTGTAGGTTGAAGGAAGTTTTGGGAATGCGTCGAAGCGTGCGAGAGGAACAACAGCATCGAGCTGGTCTAGTATGGAGGGTTGATTCTCCCCGGACATCGATGACGGTGAGCCCTGCAGTAGCAGAGCAAGCTAAAGTTAATCGTAGTAGTAAGTGTAAACAAGTGCTAGAGCATCGTACCGACGTGTCATTAATAAGGACCCCGAATACCTCTAGTCATATTATTATTACATCTTGCTCAGTGCTGATCATCGTCGATTTCATCGACTTTATCATCATCGACAATGACGACAAAACGCAAAAATTCAGATACGATCGATCTGACAACGTCTTCTACATTGTCTACACCGTTACCGGCGCCATCTACTAGCAGAAACCGTCTTCCGCGCTCTGCTACCAGCTCCAGGAGTAGCTCACAGACTTCTCGTTCACAGAGTGGCGGGCCAAGACCAAACGAAGACACGATATTGCTACCAGATCATGCAGAAGAAGACCTCTCGGATCACAGGAGAAAGAGACGAAGAGTTGATTTCGGCGGAGAAGACCAGAACAACGTGCATCAGCTGCATGAAGCACGTCCGAGTCTACTCTCCAATCCCCCAGAGAATAATGTCTTAGAGGCGAGCACCTCGTCACAGGTCGCATCAAGGTCGCTGCTGTCTAGTTGGAATATGGCTCCCGATCTCATGCTAGGATCATCTTCATCCCTGGACGAGGAACTGGTTGACCAACCACCGCTCACCCAAGAGTCAGTAGCATCCCAGGCTTATTCAGATGCTGCAGATGCAGGAACTGAAGTTGACATCATGTATCAAAGGGGAACATCCCAATCAGTCTCCGAAATAACCAATGATCCTCCAGACGACGTAGTATTGGTCAGCCCCACATTGTCACCGCGTCGAACTCAGCCTTCACTGCGCCCAATCGTCATCGATGATCCTATTCCCCTAGAGATGACGGGTACATTCACACCCGAACCAGCTAGTCAGGACCCTCATGCTTTCCCCCTGAACGCCACATCTTCCTCATCGTCTGCGCCGGAGCTACTATCCGCTTATACGTGTCCCATTTGCTTCTCACCTCCCACTAACGCAACTCTGACACCTTGCGGTCACATTTGCTGTGGAGCATGCCTCTTTGCTGCTGTTAAATCCACTGTAAAGCGGAACATGGTGATTGCTATGGACAGAGCCCCTGTTCCAAGGTCAATATTTATCTTTCACACTTTTTACGCCATTGTAATTCATCATTTGACCGATCATACTCAGATGCCCCGTTTGCCGCGCTGAAATACCTGGGTGGGATGGACGAGGGGGAGGGGTAGTTGGATTGAAAGTGGAGGTTGTTTATTCTCTTTGAATTTGAGCACGCCTCGTGTGAAGCACACATGCATATGTTATATTCACCATGCTTGAGACACAACATCTTCTGGTCGAGACCATATAATTCCAATAACGACCCTTCTAGAAATCACATAGCAGTGCAATCATGACTGTCCCTTTCCGTGTCATCGCGGTCGCCACGAAACCAAATACTTCTGTGACTGATTGAAACGCCATGTCGTTTCAGCGTGGTTGTATTGATATTAACGATCGATCATGGTCGAGCCCGAGTCCGTACATGAATATACAGCCTCTTCATAATAGGTAATTACTCCCTCGAACTCGCCTTCACTGCGACATGGCAAAATCATTAAATATTCCACTCAGCGAATTAAATGCACAGTAGCAAGGCGACGAAGCGAGCATCGGTTACGTTCTCGGCATATTTGTGCGTAAGTGCGGTTTGTTTGGCAAAAGCTTTCGATCCAAACAACCCAAAACCTGATGATCACAACTTCACAACTTGATAAGATAACATCAAGCGCTACATCAACAATCTCTCATTTTCAACGTCAAGATTTTTTCCAGTTCGCAACAGACATGAGCGCCCGCCAGTCTTTTGTTCCTCGTTCAGCATCTCGTGCTTCTACCCATGCAGACACTGAACATCCGTTTGATATGTCGCTCCGTAACCAGAATTCCCTAGGCCAGCCCCAACGTACTGGCGGCAACCAGAATGAACTTGACTCAATGCAACCAAAAACAGACTCAGAAAAAAAGGCTCGCTTTTCCGGGCTTATCGGGAAGAAACTCGCTGGAAAACTCGGCTCCGGAGATCATCCAGCGGTCGTAGACGCGTCGTTCTCTAGCGCGTCTGGGCGTTTCAGCGGAATCTATCGCCCCGATATGCAATCCTTAGCCATTTCACGCAGGTCTAGCTCTCCATTCTGCGGAAAAGGCTCGCCTTTTGTTCCATCTTCCAATCCTGGTATATCCTTTGCTCGACCGACGTCGCCTATGGCAAAATCTGCATCACACAGAGGAGATTTGACCATTTCAGGTCTCAAAGACGCGCATATATCCACACCAGGTGTCTCAGGGCTCATTTCTACTTCTCGTGTTATTGCAGCGCCTGTCCCTAGCTATGGGTCGATTCACGATGGCAGGCACGATGACGAACACACATTCAGCTCCAACAAATCTTCCCTAGCCAAGTCACAGCCTGCGCAACTCCTTGAGAGAATCCACGAAGACGTCGAGCCAGAGACAGTAAACGAAGAGGAAGACGAAGCGCTGTTTGACGCTCGCAGGACAAACGTTGTTGCGCATCCCGTGTTGCGCAGGGTGAAGCGCACCATACAAAGCACTCAGGAGGACGAGGCTGGTTTCTCACCCCCTGACGAGATTGGATATATGCGTACAGTCAAACGGGCCAAGATCGACGAGTTTCCCAGCGAATTGGGAGATAGCCGTCCTGACGACACTAGCCACTCCGGCATCGACCATACTCAATTACAGCCTGATCTTGATGACAATACGGCTCGTCAATCTTCACATCCCACGGGCCAAACTGGCGCGGGTGCCGCGGAGGAACTCTCTCTCGATGGCATGTTTGCGAACATGGATTCGTTCCTGGACGTGGACACTTACATGGGCCTCATTCACAAGTGGACTACCTGCTCAAGGGAAGAGTGGCTTCAAGGCTCTGAAGGTGCGCGGCTGTTTCCTTGTTTCTTTGCATTTTTTTGCTTCTGCCCCTTTCTGCCTATCAAATTTCCGTCAAATTCTTGTTCACACAACATCTGATTTGTTGTTCAAATGGGTGCTAACTGCAGTCGTGTAGAAATTGTCGACCAGTTTAAAGATATCATTGACTCCGTGAAGGAGAACCTCACGTGCGTGCCTTTTCAAACACATCATGTCCCTGTCTTGGGGTGGAGTCACTGATCATGATCACACCTCCTGTTTATTATATAGAGCCAACGTCACTCTTTACTCACGTCTGGACGACCAAGTGCGCGATCGCCGTGAGGAACAGGCTCAGCTCACCGACCATATGAGGCGAGGATTGGGATCGGCCAGGACGGATCTGATCGCTATTTGCCGGGGGAAGTAAATTGAGGCTGTGTGGTTAATGCTGCGGTGGGATGCTTATACGAGGTGCCTTTTCACCTCCTATACCGAAGACAACTTGGACTTCATATGAGATTATGCATGTGCTTCGTAGAACTCAGCGATTCTAGTTTTCAAATGTCAATTTGCAAAATCGCAATCCTATCTTTTTCTTTAGATCTCAGGGTGAAGTGAACGGTAAAGACGTCGGAGTCGGACGTCGAGTTTGTTTTTTCAAATCCGGAATGGGACCATTGGAAGGCTCCTATGTAACATTGACTGTAGCAGACTCATCTAAGAATATTTTCGTTTCCTCGGCCTCTAACGGCGACGATTTAAATCCGGAGCATTTTCCGCTCAATCGTACGCTGGTAACGTCATACTAGAGCGCCGATAACGACGATTCATTTTTATGCAAGAATGATCAAGCAGTACCTTGGCAATCGTCGCGCACAAAATTAGCACTCTTGCCTCATCGTCTCCTCCCTCATGCCAAGATAAGCCTTAGAACGCCTTAGACCACTTTGCCAGTTGCCTGCAGACATCCAATTCAGGAATATTTCTCACACTAACAAATAAGGTACGGCAATTTCTCAAGTTCCCGCCACTCACCACTTGTCACGGTAGGTGCTTGCGGCAGCCTTGTGTTTATCCAGTAACTTTGTAACGCAAGGCTCAGGCGTCAATGCTTTAATGCACCTTATCTCTCTGGTCACGCCGATAGAAGGTCTCCCTGAGACTTCTACCGACTTCTATCTCCCAAAGCGAGGATACCTCGTGCACAAATCACCGTGGCGCTCTATCAGAAGTCTTTTTTCAGCATAGAACAGGAGAAGCGTTCGTTGCACCATGAAATACAGCCGTTCAGTCATTGGTGCAAGTAATCACCGGTCCCTGTGAAGACTGTTAGGCCTAGGTCGCACCACAAGTCATACAGACAATATGTTGCTGTACTCAGACGTGTCGTCATACTGTTGTCATACTATGTGCTTTTTGGTGTGTCGCGACAAGTCGCGGCTACATACTAGCAATACTCACGACTCTATTTTAGCGACATTTTACGCGACGAGAGAATTCATCGCTTCAGGTCGTATACGAACGTTGCTGGCCTGATCAACATCGCTATATTGAAAGGTTTACACTTCGGAAGGACGAGGCTTATCTGAGTAAGAATTTGAAATGAAACTTTGGTTACCTCTGATTACAATTTCATAAATCAACTACTCGTTGGAAGTTCACATTAACGAGGAGAGGTACCCCCCGGTTACCGCAGCCAGTGGATCCTATCCTGAGGTATGAGCGTATCGCTCTGCATATCTTGTGGCAGACTGAAGTCTTTGAACAAGGTCTCGGACTAGGAATATCATGTTTAATCGGGTAATAAAGCGGAGTGCTGATAGATCGTTTCCACCCCACCCCTCCTGAGTTCTTATCATATGGCGTGATGCTTTGCCGTCGGCCGCATTGTCCCTGATGTTACTTCACAGTTAATTTTTGCAAGAAGTTCTTCGGCACACCTCATGGCATATGCCAGTCGTGGCTCCAATGGCCAGAATTTGGGAAGATAGTTTCCGTTGTCCTAGGAAAACATTAACACCACTGCCTCACGCCTGGCCGTGTTATCCGGCCCCTTACGGCAGTTTCTTTGGTCCTTCCGCGGTGCTGTATCTGCTCGTGGACCTTCGGCGAACGTTCTATCACTTTGTTTTCCCGACATGATG